CAATCAAATTATGGGGGATTACATAAAAAACGGCATAGTAGAAAAGGTACCAAACACCGATAACGCCGAACGCACATACTATATTCCACACCATGGAGTATGGAGGCATGAGAAACCAAAGCCATTGCGCATAGTTTTTGACGCATCCTCTAAGGCAAGAGGAAGTCCGTCACTTAATGAAGTAATAGCAACCGGTTCTATTTTTATAAACAAAATACATGACATATTAATAGAGAACCGCTTCCACAAAATAATAATTATGTGTGATATAGAGGCAGCTTTTACACAAATAAGACTGACCGATAAAGATAAAGACTTGTGTCGATTCTTCTGGATAGAAGAAGAAAACAACGGCAGTTACAGAATCGAGCCATATCGGTTCTGTAGGTTACCTTTCGGAATCACCACATCTCCGAGTATATTAAACATGTGCCTAACAAAATTCCTAGCTGAGGAAGGAACTCCCTTGGCAAAAGAGATCATGAATCTACTGTATGTAGATAACATATCCATGGGAGCCAGGACCCTGTCAGATGCCATGCAGAGGTATAAGGAAACAAAAGAGATGTTTTCCAAAATCTCAATGAACATAAGGGAATTTATTTCTAACGAAGAGAAATTCAACGTGCGACTGCCGGAGGCAGATCGCTTGAATCAAACGATCGTGAAAATGCTAGGGGTCCCCTTCAATACTAAGACCGATGAGTTGTGAGCTCTAATAAAGTTAGAACAACAACCAGAATTGACAAAACGCATTATGCTGAGTCAGTTACATAGGTCTTTTGATCCAATTGGATTAATATCACCATTAACCCTGAAAATGAAATTAATGTTAAGAGAAATCTTCGCGTTAAAATCAGGATGGGATGAGAAATTGAGTGATAATATTACCCAAGAATGGAATGAAATGCTGGAAGAAATCACGCCAACCAAAGTCAGTATAGGAAGATTCATCCCTATACTAGATTCGTCCATATTATGGATCTTTGCTGATGCAAGTCAAGTTGCAACAGCAGTATGTGCATACATACAGACAGATCACCAAGTGAGTGACCTGTTAACAGGAAAGGTTAAGCTAGCACCAAAACGGAAAATTACAATTCCAAAGCTAGAATTAATAGCATTTCGATTAGCTACAACCCTAGCGTTAAATTTCATGTTGAATACTCAACAGAAGAAATTAAAACGCGTCAAGTTAGTAACGGATAGTCATATAGCCTTAGATTGGCTATGCTCAACAAAGAAACTGAGCGGACACGTTACTCAGCAAATAGCATCAGTACAAAACATGATCAATAGGCTAACTGATATGGGTTGTGAAGTCGAACTGTATCACGTAACTACGGAGTACAATCCAGCCGACATTGGTACAAGAGGTAGTACCAAGGAAGAATGTCAAGAATCAATGTGGATTAGAGGTCCACAGTGGTTAAATAGCAAGGAATCTCCCTTGACGAAATTCAAAATCCCTAATCCAATACCAAAGAAAAAGGAAGAGGGAGAAAGGGTTGTAATGCTTGTAAACCCCGAAAGGGAAATAGATGAACAACTCCTGGAAGAATGCTTAAAATCGTCAAACCATAGACAGAATTTGAGAAGAACAGCATTCATTGGCAAATTTCTGAATGCCATAACAAGAAATAGAAACATTAATACAGTCATACTCAGAAAGTTTAGTTCAGAGAAAGAACTAACACCAGAAGACTATGAAACAGCGAAAATGTTTCTAGTAGCTCAATCACAACGTTTTGTGAATCTCACAAAACTACGTGAAAAATTCTGCAATTGGCATGTATTTGAAGATGTTGACAACATAATCCGCATATCCACACGGTTGCAGAACGCAGAGCTTCCATTTAATACTAAAAATCCAATATGGCTACCAAGAAAGTCAGTATTGGCCAAATATATAATACGCCAAACCCATTTAAAAATGGGGCATCAAGGAAGAGATGTAGTTTGCATGATAATAAAGCAGAATTATTACATGCAAAAACCAATTGCAACAATTAGAGGAATCCTCAAAGAATGCGCAAGATGCAAAAGATTCCATGGGTTACCATATGGTTCACCAAGGATGCCCGACTTACCATCCGATAGAGTAGTTCTCAAAAAACCATTCGAAAGCTGTGGATGTGATTTGCTGGGTCCGTTGACTCTTCAGAATGAGGAAAAGATACATGTATGCTTGTTCACATGTATGGCCACAAGAGCCATTCATTTGGAACTGGTAAATACAACCTCAGCGGAAGCATTCTTAAACGCCTTTCAGCGGTTTGTTGCCCGAAGAGGTGTTCCGAAGCTAATGAGAAGCGATAACGGCTCAAATTTCATTCTTGGAAATAAGATACTGAGCAAGATAGTTTCTCATAACGAGTTACGCAATAGTTCGTATAAAAGATATATCCATCATTATCATCTGGATAAGATTAAATGGATTTTCAATACCCCGTTAGCTCCTTGGAAGGGAGGAGCATGGGAGCGACTAATAGGCGTAGTAAAAACCATACTATATAAAGTATTGGGAAGATATAAACCGACGTATGATGAAATGCATACAATAATGGTCAAAATTGAAACAATAGTGAATACAAGACCATTGACATTCCCAGATCCCAGTGATCCTAAGTCACTACCAATAAGACCAATAGACTTCCTGAATACACACATTCGGTATTCAGTACCAGATTACATTGATCGAGATCTATTGTATGATCAGGACTATGACCCTGATCAATTGATAACAGCCAGACAAGCAACAGAAGCCATGAAATTCATAGCAATGGTAACGGAGAGATTCTGGCAAAGATGGCATAAGGAATACCTTATAGCCATCAAAGATATCAACAAGGTTCTCCGAAAACAAGGGAGAAACAAGCAATTAGTACCAAACATTGGAGATATCGTTCTGATAAAGGCGGACAACGTCCCAAGAGGAGCATGGCGTTTAGGACGTATAACAAAGCATCTAAAATATTCCGATGGATTTATAAGATCAGTAGAACTGAAATCCAGAGGTCGGATATTGGAAAGAGCCTTAGAACAAGTCTTTCCACTAGAGCTTTGCTCTCCTGATAAGGAAGAAATACAACCGATGATTCCATCGGAAGAAATACCTGATGAGGTAATTCCTTCGAAGGAACACGTTGACTTAACAGGAGGAGAAATTACCTCCGGAAATGAAACAATTAACCCAAATTTCGATTACGAAATAGAAGCGTTTCCAATTAGAGAATCGGAACCGCAAGAAAGAAACGAAGCTGAAGAGGAAGCTTCAATAAGATTCCAAGTTGAAAGAGATACAATAAACCAAAGCACTCTTGTAGTTCGACCAAGCAAGTGCAAAGAAAGAACGCAAATTTATACAACGGTGAAACAGAAGCCTAAAACAAAGGCAGTAGTTTCCCAAATCGACAGATTAAAGGAGCTAAAGGCAAAAAAGGCTGCAGATGATAAACTAGAGTCAGGGTATAAACAGTCTCAATGGTTATCATCGTTACCATCCATGATGGAAAGAGCTAGACAAAAAATGATGGAAAGACAGCAACAAAGAGAACAGGAAAGAAGATCACAGTCTCCTGTGAACTTGCTATCCATTATCATGATAATGTCTATCATCATGAGTTTTGTAAGCGAAACATCAGCTATTCCTCATATGTATTGCATCAACAATACAGTGTTCGTCGAACCGGATAAACATAACGCGATGATGTGTGCAGATTCGGACTGCTTTAATATAAAGGCAGAAGAACTGAAAACACAATCATTTAAGTTACGGGCCATACCCGGAAAACTAATGGCAGATGTTAGATTGATCTCCCCCGAAGGAACAGTAACAATCCGGTGTAAGAGAGATCAAATTTGCTCAAAGGCATACCTTTTATCAAGGAATTTGATTGGAAATCCCGATTGTTGGCCTATAGGTGCTCAAATATCCGCATTTATACTAATTACACTAGTGACCGCCATATCACTACCGTTAATACGATTCGGGATACAATATCTAAGAAATGCGAACGTAATAAGTCAAGCTCGTATAGGTTGGAGAAGAACTCAGGAAATAGCCAGAAACATAAGAAATTTAAGAGGGTCAAGAACCTCCGAAGTTGAAATGGTTACGTTCCCTAGTGCTCCACCTGATAGCCCAACTCCACCAAAGCCAGCAAGATATTTGGCTATGGAAAGAGAAGGCAAAACGAAATCACCTCAACCTTTGCCAATGGTCTTCGAAGAAGAAGAATCCAGGGAAGGAAGAAGTTGGGAAGAAAATGATCCAACGTATGATCAACCTCAACCAGAAGTGGAATATGCAAACATGCCACCCCAACGAGAAGCTAAGAGCGATCCTCCAGTACCCAAGCATGGGAGGAAGTTGAGAAAATCCAAAACTTTCACAAAGCTGTCCATGATGACGCTTATTATTTGCAATTTGATTCCTATTATATTAGGATGTCAAGATGCTCATATTAGACGTGTATCAGAACTCAAATGTGACAATCGAAC